CAGAGGAGCAGCTGGTGAAAGAAGATCGGGGTCGGGTTTGTGAGCACAGTTTTCCGTCTTCGCCTGAGCGCTTTCTTTTGTATAGAAGTCCTGAAAAACTTTCAATAAATGCGATAAATCCGTTTGAGTGCAGGTATCGACTTTCTGTACTGTCATTTCCGTTGACATGTTTGCCTTAATCTCAATAACGCAGTCCCTTGGAGTGTTCGTCGTCCGGCGTTCTTTTTTCAAACCCGTCCCTTTAATTATTTTATCTTTTGAAATTCTCTGTGCGTTTCCATGTCTGGAACATTGGTTTGGTTGTGCATTTTGTTTCTGTGTTCGCCCGTTGGGTAAGTCCTTTCTATCTTTTATTTCTTTAACGCTGAAGTCTGTGTCCCCCTCCCTGTCCTGGGGCGCGCAGGGTGGGGGCTGTATCATGGCCGCCATATTTGGGAGAAGCCGAGAAGTAACATGAAATAATCCGTGAGCAACGTTCTTTTGAGGACCGATGTACTTCGCGTCCTCCTTGTAATCGCTGAAATACACATCCTCTTTAACCCAGTCTGAACACTTTAAGCAGAACGCTATTAAGAACGCTGACAGCGCTATCACCGGTATGATAACGATGTGGTCCTTGTGTATGGCGGACTCCATTTCGTCCGCGCTGAGAGTGCGCCCACTGGCCGCGTGCACAGTGTACGTATTGTTGTCATACACCCTTCCTTGCATGGCGTTCTTCAACAGCCCGGCGGCTGCAGTTTTCATAAGACCACGCACAGTATAACTGGGGCTCCGGTAACTGGTTGTTTTTGTCGTTGTTACATAGGTGCTGATCCGTGGTGTGATTACGCGCCCGAGCGCCCCCGGCTTTTCACGAGAACGTGCCATGACGTAATGGATAAAAAGGCCATGTGAAGTCTAAACAAGCGTTTCTCTCTGGTCTCTCCTGTGGCCACAGTTTCTCTGGACAGGCCTGGTCACTGCATTTTTAGACCACTTCTCCGGACTCCCAGCTTTAAGTTGCTTAATCCTAGCATCGTTGTTGTGAAACGTTCATTCTCGTGCTTTGTGATACATGTCAGTCCGACACGTTCGCGTGCGTGTCGCTTTTAGGAACCGTAAGCGCCTCCTTGTGCCTCAGTTGTACCTTAATTTTGCTGTAATTTCACTGTGCGCGTTCACGCCTCACTGTAACACAGAGACCACTATCACGATCGCCTGAATCATAGCAACGCAGTGGTAAATGTTTTAATTATGTGATGTCGCTGCCATCACTAGAGATTCCTCTGTGGGCATGCCTTCCGGCTGACCTTCTGGCAGCGGAATGATTTAGCTGGTCACACAACGTACTGTGTCAGAGTACATGTGTCCAGAGCTGTTCCCGCTCTTCATGCATATTCCCGATATATTGTGGCACCCGCTTTATCATAGTTAGCTCCACCCTGATATAACTGAGCAGCAGGCGCGCGTGTCCACGGCTGCAGATACACTACATATACCTGGTATTACAACCTATTTTACAGCTGCCACGATGCTGCTACTTCGAATGATCAAATGCAGCCAATGGCCAGAAAACGCAAGGCTCCACAGGACGGATTCCCGGCTAGATTCCATACACGCGAACCGTTCATTTAAACGCAAACGCCATTAAAGTAGAAAATGACTTCGAAGGGGACGGGTGTTACATTCAAGAATGGGGTGGGGTGTTAAATGTAATACATGATTATGTTATGAAAGCGTTTGAGTGGTTTGTCATTAATATTTGCAGAGCTGTTTCTGTTGACAAAACAACGCCGAGGTGGATTGCCAAGGCCAGTCCCCACTTCCAATACAGTCACAATACATTGAGCTGAACGGAAAGCTTCATGGGGTGATGTTTATGTTTTGTACACAGCCAGGTTCGTGCACAGAAAGCCATTGTTTGTTTGCTTTTTATACCGGCAAGGCGTCTTGTGTATTCAGTGTATTAAAGGTCTGCGATTAGGGAGCTAGGTGCATAGTCTGACTTCCCTTTGGGTACACTAGACCGTGGATGGGATTGGTAGGGTTGTAATAAAATCTTACACCCCATTTCCATAGATTAGATCGACCTACTTTGGATCGACCTAACTCCCTGGGGGTTCGCGCTGAATAGCTGTCAGCCAGGCGGACACGATGGTTAATTGCCCCTTACGGCTTGTAGTGGGCGGGGACGGACACTTAAGGGGGATTATCTGACGGTAGTCTGGTGAGACTCCCTGCGGTGATAGATCGATCCAAAGTTGTGGGAATAGACCCTAATTGGATACTATTTCAACCCGTATTCATGTGATGCACACAAAGCTTACTAGCACACGCACACACTCAGTCTGCACGAAAAATGTATTTAATTTTGAATGTTCTCTATACGGGATAAAGCCGACAAATGAATTTTCTTCGGGAATAAAAGCTATTTCTTCTTCTCGCGAACCATGTTGCTTGATACGTCCCTGCACTTGGTTTGATGTTTTGATGCTTCATTCCACTTAAATATAATGGTTTAGTTCTAAATGACTGACTGACCAGTCCTTTAGAACGCCACGTCTTTCTGTTCATTTCAACTGTCGACATCAGGTAGTTTTATATGAGGGGGGTTAGAGTTTTTAAAATCAGAACTGGGAAAGATAAGTAGATTTGCAGGATATATAGACACAGAAATTGGAAATTTTCATTTTCATTCGTACAGTATACATTTTAACATTTCTCATGTCTGCGACTTTTACGAGGTAAGCAGATCGCTAGAATCTCTACTTTCAGTGCTTCAGTTCTCCTCTATTGTCCTTAACCGACCATACAGTAAAGCCACTTGTATAGGAGTCTGAGTGGCAAGACTGGATAATCTATGAAGTCCGCCCAAACAGCAACTTGCAGTCCACAGTGCTTTTTTTTTTTTTTTTTTTTTTTTTTTTTGG